TCCATTACTTCAAACTACTTGTTAAATGAGGTCTTCAGAGAAAAGAACCAAACAACCAGATTAATAAAGTGCTCATGAAAGGAGTGAGATGAGGGAGCTGTCAGACTCCCACGCAGAGTCTGCTGAAATGCAGGCGCGGCCTGACCTCAGGGACCTGCCTGAGACCCGGGCAACTGTCGCATGACTTCTGCTCTGTGTCCACAGAGCTGAGAGCTGCTTAGTGCCAAGTGTGATGTGGACACTTGCCTGCTGAATGGAGACAGAAACTCATTTTCCATCTGTCGAGCAGCCTGACACAGAGCCCGTAATGATTTTCTGTCAGGCATGGCCTGGCTGGATTTGAACCAGTGACCCAGAGGTAAAAGGCTCTGATGTAGGGCCCCCTTTACAATGACTGGCCTGCCTGGACCTCATTACACTTGGCCCAGCACTCTCTCGTGCATCTGCCCATGTGTTCTCGGCCAGCTTTGGTTGGATCCTTAAGCATTTGGGGCTGAGTGGGTGATGTCCCAGGAGGGCCACTAGAGTGTGCATTTGGGTCCTGGGGGAATGAGAAATGAAAGGCAGATGCAGGACAGAGAGGCAGGGCCTATTTGACTAGCCTGGGGCCAAAAGCCACATGCTCCTCCCGGGCTAGGTGCCTGATGCTGACCTCAGGACGTTGCACGTGCATATAGGTCGGAAAGATGGCTCTCACAGTGAATGCCACAATGGGAATGTGCATCTGGAGGGAGACTGAGGTCTAGATGCTTTGGGTCTCAACTACTCTGGAGTCAAAATTATTTTTTCTGATTGTTTTTCTTAAAAATAAAAGTCCTTTCAGAAGCATCCATAGATTGATTAATATGGTGATTCCCATTCTTTGAATGATAACTGAGTCACATGCCACTTTCCAAAAATAGTGGTCCATAATATGAAGACATCTGTCTTCCAGAATCTGAAAAGCAACCTGGAGGGCATTACTGGTTAACCTATTATTCAACAAATGTTTATTCAGGTTCCTACTATCAGGCAAGCATTCTGCTAGTTATCAGGGTTACAGAGATAAACAAAACAGGTCTCCACTGAAGAAATTCATCAATTGGGGAGGGGGCATGTGGATAACGCTAATTTTGCACAACCTGATAAGTGAAAAAGTAGAAAGTGGAGAAATCCAGTAGACAATTGAAAACTAAGGACGACATCTCAGGTGGTGGGGGATGTGGTGGGAGCCTCAGAATTGGGGGTCAGTAGTACAGAGTGGGAGGGAGGCCCAGCTGCTGGCTGAGCCAGCCACCCAGGAAGAGATTCAGGCTTTGCCGTTTATAAGTTCTGGCCCCTGGGACTTAGTTTCCTGGAGCCTCCAGTTTCTCATCTGTAAAATGGGAATAATTACACCAATGTCCAAAATTGTCTTAAGGATTAAATGGGAGGATTCAGGTTATAAAAATTAAATTAAAAAGGATTCATGTAAAGCATTGAGCAGAGCACCCAGCGCATGGCAGGGGGTGAATAGATGTCAGTAAAGGGTTTCCTGGATTGGAGAAAGGCATGGCTGGAGGGAAAAAGAACACTGAAAAAGGTATTTTAAGGCAGGAGCAGTGGGATGGAGAAGAAGGTAGGAATTAAGGAGAGGTTTTGCTGAGAGACTCAAGAGAATTTGCTGACTAAACTGAACATGAAAAGTGAGGTGTGAAGATTGAGGGGGAGGACATGAGGCTTGGTTGCTATGCCAACATAGGAAGCAGGTTTGAGGAGGTTGCTATGCCAACAGAGGAAGCTGGTTTGGGGAGGACTGAGTGAAGGGAAAGAAAGAGGTTATTGACTTTTCCTCCAGGGCACATGGGGTTAGAGGGACGTTCAGGATACCCATGTAGGGATGTCCAAATGGAATTGGAAATGTGAGCTCAGGGCCATAGATCTGAGAGCTGGTTCACAGGTGACTGATGCGGTGGCAATGGCCCAGAAGTTCCCACTGGGAGAGCACATGGGGTCGGAAGAAAGGCTGGAGACCAGAATTCCTGGGAATGTTACCATTAAAGGGGTGAGTGGAAAAGGTGGTCTATGAAAGGGACAGCCAGCCACTCTAGGGTTATGGTAGGACTTGACCAAGTGGAAAGGGGACATACCAGCCTGGACACAGTAAGAGCTCAAGCTACAGTTCTCAGACGGGGCCGTGACCATACAGTGAATGCTCTAGAAACAGCTCACCATCAGAACTCATCACAGTCAGGTGTTAGCAAACCAGAATCGATATGGGGCAGCTCTGTCTGTCAGCTGCATTATCAGATGGTTCTTGGGGCTTTTGGGGGAGTTGGGCAACATTTTTGCTTGGAGTTCTTAGCAGGAGGCAGAAAAAGGCAAGACTCAGGCAGCTTTGGAGGTCCAGAGGGAATTTCCATCTCTGCTGGAAGCCAGGGATGGCTGCAAACTTCTTAAAATTCAGAACCAGGTGTCTTCATTAACTGACCAAGTAGAGACTCGTGCCCTGGTCACTTCCTGACTTGATTAGTGACATTTAACGGACTTTGTAATAGACCTTTTGCATAGATTAGAACTCGGGCAGGCTAGAGCCTGACACCTGACTTCACATGTCCGACACCACACGTCTGATGTGGTTTACCCAGGTCCCTTCCGTGTTGAACAATAATAGTAGCTGCCACTTACTGAGTTCTTGCCAAATGCCAGGCACTGTGACAGCTGTTTGCAGGGGTTCTCTCATTCGATCCTAAAAACAGACAATTCTCACTTTGGCTTTGTGAGCAGGGAAGTGAGCTATAGAAATGGTATTTTGCTCTGTCTTCCACAAACACAGGGCTTCTTAGGGGTGGAGCTGGAGTACCGCCTGAGGGGACGAGGCATTGTCAGAATGCCCTGCACGGATGATAACAGCGGTGGGTCCCAGGGTAGGAAATCAGGGAATCCTTTAATGGTGGAGAAGATATAGGCTAAGTTCTAGCCATGTTGGCAAAGCCAGCCCAGGATGCCATGCGGACAACAGTGCTCTCTGAACACAGAGAATCAGAGTCTAGAACTTCCAACAGTGGACGCAAATCAACATGGTTGCAAGGATTTCGAGTGTGGGATTAGCCAGTAACAAGGGAAATGATCAAACCCTAGGGCTGAGGGTCTGTTTCCTCAGCGTGTTGTCTTTTCCTACCCGTGGACTCTGAGGCCTGGTGGTTGATAGAAGCCCTAAGCTCCTTCCTTCCAATTACCTGGGATTTCTGAGATGTGGGGCTTTGTATTCGCTCCAAATAAAGGGAGAACAACGTTCTTTATCAAAACCTTGGCTGCAGAACTCAGGTCGAATTTAGAATCATTGCAAGTTTCCAGGAGTTTAGAATATGGGAACATAAAAATTTTGTAAGGAGCATGTGGTTTTAGGGTTGCAGAGGAGTCTACGGTAGCCGTTAGTCACGTGGGCTCTGGAGGTAGGAAAATCTGAGTTCAAATCCCAACTCCACCACGTCTGAGTTGTGAGGCTCGCACTCACTATTTACCTTTCCAGCCTTAGTTTCCTTATCTGTACAATGCAGATAATAATGGTACTTATCCTCCTAGAGCTGTCGACAGAATTAAATGAAAAATCTGGGTAAAGAACCTAGTGTGACCTGTAGTGCAGAGGCATGCAGGAGTCAGCTTATTTCATCTCGGGAGAGCAAGTCACTACGTCCCTTCCTGATACCACCATTAGGGACGGCAGGTTGGTAGCTTGGAATCTCCAGGGTGGGAGTATTTACACCCAGAGCACTGGATATTAGCTACTAGTGTTGCAGTCCCCCAGCCCATCTGAATACCTAGCTTATACTCGGATGTAATGGTTTAAGAATGAATTCCATGTTCTGTGGGAAGTATTCTCCCACTGAGATTTCCAGGAGTTTTTACTCTTCTGATCATCTCATGCACAGAATTCCTGCTTATGACTTGGTGTCTGTTACTGGAATGTTCTACTTTCTCTCCCCTATGTCACCTCTTGGCGGATGTTGAACTTTTTATTTCATTCCCACCCCACCCACCCCCCAAATACACAAAAAGCCCTGGTATAAAGCAGAGTTTTACTAAAGGCTTTTTTATGGGGTGGGGGAGTGTTTTAGAACTGCAGCAAGAGCCACTATGGGAAAGAGTACGGGGGTTCCAAAAGAAATTAAAAATAGAACTACCCATGTAATCCAGCAATCTCGCTTTTGATATATATATATTTAAAGTAACCAAAATCACTAACTCAAAGAAGTATCTATAATAAGAGCTCTCAAAAATTTGAAGGTTCAGGTCCTACCCATTAAGATCATAATTTGGAAAGCCAATACACATTTTTTTTTTGGCGACTACTCTGAACTGGGCACTGTGATAGGCACAGTAGAAAAACAGAAATGAGGACCACGTTGGAGGAGATAGAAAGGTAAGGTAATGGTCCGACAATGGTTTCAGAAGACTGGAGGGTTTCAGAAGTCCTAGCGGCCCATCACAGAGAAGCAGCTGAGCACTGGCTGGGGAGCAGGTGAGCCTCCTGGGGGAGGTGGCCTTTCCTTCCAGGGAGAAGAGCATTGCTAAGCTAAGACAGCAAAACAAGAACACAGAGGTATTTTGGAATTCAAACAAGGTAACCTGCTCATAAAAAAATACTGGGTTTGAAAAAATAAAAAAAGAAATACTGGGTTTAGAAAAGGCATTCTAGGTTTCATCTGTCCTATCCTTCAAAAGTATGACAAGGGTGGCTAAAATTCACATCACCTAATGTTTGCCACTTTTTTGGTGTATGTCTCTATTTTGGTCCTCAGCTCTGATGCAGAGAACACATACTTCTAACAAAAAAACAAGGGCTGTTTCTGGATTTTAACGTTATAGTGTGGTGAAGGTTTTGAGATGGATGGGTACCTAGAAGGCCAGGGAGCTTGTATTTACTTAACCACAAATGATGTAACAGTATTTGGATGAATCAAGAGAAATCTATACATACTCAGAAGGTAGAGTGAGCACATCTGAAATAGGTTAAAAATAAGCCACGGGATCTCTTGTGATTTCTGAAACATCTCTTTGTTTAATCATAGAATTCTTTTCATCTTCCCATTCATCATAAATAATCCACTTCATTACTTTACCAATCCTTTTGAAAAAATTTGGTATTTAGCATAAACAAAAACTGAACATTAGCCAGAGGTGTGTTAGTTTTAAACAGAATAGGAAAAAAACACCAAAAAACAAAAAAATTTAAACCTTAGAAAAGAACACATGAAAAGATTAACATTATTACCCAATAAAAAAAAATCAAATTTTGTAACAACCATTTAGAAAAATCCAGGTGGAAAAATGAGTAAACATAAATAAAATCTAATGTATTTCTTTCATAAATACAGTTAGACAAAACAAGCTCTCAAAATGGATAGCTGGAGAGTGCATAAACATGATAAAGTATTTTAAGATACAAGTAATTAATTCCCAATAAGCATGAATTAAAAATAAATTTTGATTTTTTTTGCTCTTTATGGAAAAATATGCCATAGCATTTGTGTTAAAAAATAGGCATAAACATATCACAAAAGCCACCGAAATTCACCATGTAAAGAAGACTATTTGAAATCGAAACACAGTTTTAAAGCAAAAGATAAAATGTTATAGCATTTTCCATTGAATTTTATCCCATAATCACACACCTACTATAGGTGTTTGATAATAGAGGTAGATAAGTTGGGGGAAAAAAAATCAGTATTCTAATGCTAGCTTTTATGATAGCTCAGACAGGCAGACAGACAATTACTCTGAAATCCAAAGAAGTTTATAGGAACAAAACATGAAAACCTTTCTGTGCTTCATATGTAAGCATCCAAAGTATCAAGCAAAATTATTGTAGTTTTAGACACAAGTGAAATTCTCAACAGCAGAAATTCTTGACAAACAGCCTGTTTAGCATAGATTTTTGCAGGGTCTGGCACTAGCTTTAATTAAAATTGACACTGAGGATAACTCTTCTGAAATGTATGAGGTTCAATGATATTGAAATGAGTCAGAAGTAACACAAAATGAGACCTGCTAGTAACAATAATATAAATTAACACTATTGATAAACTTGGTATGTGTCTAAGGAATGATTTTTTTTGTTGACAAAACAACAACAAAACAGCTGCTGAGGACAGAGTGCGGCCTCAGTGTGACCCAAGATGCCAACATCGTTTGTCAAATCAAGAAAGGACATGTAGAGAGGATGAGACAGAGCGGTATGTAGGAAACAGAGAAAAAGTGTTCCCTTAATGCTATATATTGCTTTATTCTCTATTTTGGTCCAGTGAAAGTTCTTCCAGGCATAGCAAAAGCAAATTTTGGATACTCCTCTGAAAGCTGATGCCCAACTGGGAAGTGATTTTACTTGATATTTTGGTTAATGAATGATTTTGCATTTTCTGTGCCCATTTTTTTTGTCATTTGGCTAGACAGAATGTGTATATGTAATATTTGTTTGCATCTATGACCTTCATATTTCCATTATTCATAAGAGCAATATGATTTAATTTAAAAAAAAATGTTGTAAACATTTGTCAAATCTGCCAAGGAAATTCTCATTAATAACTTGTCTCAAATGCCTTAAGTGTGCTTAATTCAAGGATGTAACAGGCTGCTTCTGGCAAAAAGGAGCAATTTGTGCTCAGCACATTTGTGTAACAGGAAAAAAATTTTTGGTCTCAATTGTGGAATGTGAATATAATCCATCATTAATGGTTGATGCTCTCAAACTGATTACAACATATTTGTGTCTCACATTTGGCTGTTATGAGTTTGTTGGAAAGGATGTTGGAAAACAGGAAAGAAAGAAATTATAAAAGAAAAAGGAAAAACATGAAATATAATTTAAAAAATCCTGTAGTTTACCTCAAAACTTCACTGACTTTATTCATAACTCAAATATCAGGCTCTTTCTTTCAAGCAGCTTATGATAAATTTAAGACCTATAATACCACAATCTCTTATAATGGAACTGAGGAATTTCTGTGTGGAAAGCATTTGAAGGAATGTCTTAAAAAAATGATGTCAAGAAACGCATGTAACTTATGCTTTCCAGCATCTATTCAGTGACCCCTGCTGAGCTGATAAGAAAGTGGCATGTCACAGTCATAGGAAAAAAAGAATCACACAGGAAATCAAAGTATTTGCGAATAAGACTTTGGAATTTTTCACTGTTATCAGAAGAGCACGCCTCTGACGGTGTGACCTCATTTCGAACAGTACAGTAATTATTATAGAGTTGTATTGCACAAAGGTGGGGCGAGAAAAGCATATTTGCTTTTGTCACTTAGGATGACTGCTGCCTGCATGAGGGAAAAAAAAAATATTAAACAACTCCTAAATACTGTACCATCCCTGGCAGTAACCAACAAAGTAGGTTTTGGAAATAACGTTCTTGTCAAATCCATTTTAAGGCACTTAAACAGTTATATCATATTTTTGTGTAAAAAAATAAAATATGCATCGAAGCAACATTCACAAGTACAAGTCTTCAGAAGTGTGTGTACAATCCTGTACATATATATACATTGCTTTAAGAATGCTTCCTTCGTTATACTGTTGGCCTCGTCAACTTCACTCCCTGCAAGACAGGAAAACATGCAGAGTTGGACAATATCCGTGAGCAAAGTGAAAACATCAATTAACACCAGACAATTTATGCTACTAGACAGAAGAAGATAGCATTATATAACCACTGATCCAAACCTCTGGCTACAAGTCCACCTGCCCGCCTCACTGGCCAGCAGGCTTGGTCATCTCCCCCAGCCTGGCCTGGCTACACACAGTCCCACTGTGCACTCCATGGTGGCCGAGGGTCTCCATCAGTAGTGTTTGCAAAGCAGAGGAGACATTCATGGATACCCTTATGATGGGTGGTCAAATGGGGATGGATAACGTTCTAAGCTTCAAATGGGGATGGATAACTTAATTCTAAGTTCGTGGCTCCCTGATTTGGAGGGGTGTCTGTGCAAAGGGAAAAGGAACAGCATGGCCCAATTTAATCTCCCTTTTGGAAATGCTTCTGTTACTCTGTAGGATAAATCCCAGAACTGTTACGCATTTAGGAGAGAATTTCACTCTGATTAACTTGCTGTTCACTACGACTGCATATTATTGATAGAGTGTTAGGATTTTCAAGTAATTTTCTTCATTCTTTGTCAAAATGTATATGTAGAAACTCTGGCCTACAATGCACATGCACATTGATAACTATAAGCATAAATACAAATGGAAGTTTTCAAAATGGATAAATAGTGAAGGAAAAGGTATGAAACTGCTCCTCTACCAACTCGGAGTGGGTGGCCCCGAGCCTCGCGTCATACCCAGCACAGCATGGTGGGCACTAGCATTTTGTTAAATAACTAAATGAGTGACGGTGTCGGGTGGGTTAACTTTTTCAGGTGAGATCCTGGGGACCTAGGGCACTCCTTCTAGAAGCAATGTCGTGTTTCTCTCTGGAGTGTCGTCATGGTGTAGGGGGAAGATCTGAGGGCCGAGTAGACCAGGGTTCAAGTCCTAACTCCAGCACGGGTTAACCCACAAGTTGCTCAGCTCTGAGCCTGTTTCCTAACCTGTGTGATGGGGGTAGCAGAGCTCGCTGCAAACAGTGTTGTAGATACTAACGAACGATCATTATAATAAAAGTTGTTAGCTTTTGTCAAACACCTGCCACGCCCTCTTCTCAACTCCAAAGAGTAGGCATTATCATTAGTCTTAGAGGGCCAAAAACCGAGGTACAGAGAAGTGAAGCACTGTGCCCAGGTCACCCAGTGACAAGGTGGCAGAGATGGCAGTGGCTCGAGGGTCCACACTCTGAACCAGGGAGGGCAGGGATGTGCTTTGCGAGCACGAGCTCAATAGGTGGGAGTGTGGCTATTCTGTTCTCAGGACACTAAGGACATGACGCAGGACATTCTGTCATTGGCTGTCACTTCTTCCTACTCATCCCCAGATAACAGTCGTCGCCTGTGTCCAGTGGAAAGAAGTCCTGTAAAGTCTGAGCCACTGGGAAGAGGCCAGATGTAGCTTCGAAACCTCTTGTGAATCACCCAGCTTATTTTATTCTGGCTGAGAATTCAGGAAATCAAATCCACAAGTATCAAATAAGTAACAAGACTCTGAGCTAAGTGTGGTGAAATTGATATTGTGTGGGCTCCTTTGCTACTGAAATTTTATTTTTCAATGCCAAACACATAGTTTTGCTGCAGAAAGATATTATTAAATGTCTAGATAATTAAAAATCAAGTAGGCATTCTAATGAGAGCCAGCTGCTGTCACAGTTAGCAAGGCATGTGAAATCAGCACACATGAAAAATCATGTGGGGCAAAAACGCTGTGTGAAGGGGTACGTGTTTTGAGTATATTTACTGAACCTGTACCCCACTGCAATATGCCCTTCAATATCAGCCAATGAAAGATATGCGAACACTGCATTGTAAGTATAATTGTACTTTTATAATAATATGAGACACTTAACCCTCAACTTTCCTGTTCCAATGGAAATGGATCAACACACTGTTATTATTGGATTTAAATCAGAAAATATGTACTTTGAGAACGAGACTATGCTAGCAAAAGCTAATGAACAGCCAAGATTCTGAGCTAGCATTTCCATCTGATTTGGATTCAAATAAGACCTTTCTAGAGTCTCACCTTCTGCCTCGACACCATCCAAGACTTGATGGTTGGCACCAACACACTGCCCAGAAGGATCTGAACCGGGTGGTAGATGAGCAAGGGCACGGAGATCAGAGAGAGGTGCTCATGGCCTGCAAACACGATCTTCAGCATCGGAATTCCTGATGAACGAAGAACACAGAAACTCTAGCGGCAAATTCATCCGTCATCACATTAAAGACATCCTCCATTCAAATGGGAACTTTGGGGTAGGTCATTACCATATTTCCCCCCCTGTGTGTCTTCACAGACCTGAAAAGGGAAGGTCTCAAATGATTCACCAAATCCCCTCAACTTCTTTCCACTCCACAAAGCTCTAAGCTCTCCTTAGAACTGATTACAGCTGAAAAGGTGGCAAGTGTTCAGGGCACTAAACAACTCTGGCTGCAAATTAGCAGCCTGTTTAACAAGGAGAAGAGAGGAGATAGCATGGAATAGAGCTGCTTTTCAGGGAGGCTGAAAAATACTCGTGATGCAGAGGCTCAAAATGCATCTTTTCTTGCTGAGTAGTAAAACAGTCTGTTGGTCTTTAAGGAGGCCTGCCTGGCACCATTTCAAAGCCCCAAACTTCACTTTTGAGGGTCAGAAGCATATGGTCAGATAATGTATGGTATGTACTGCTCTAAGTAGGAGGGTGCTTTAGCCAAATAAACATGAATAAAGGCTTTGCTCCTTCTCATTTGGCCAAGGATCTCAAAGTGCTTTCTGTGATACTGTGTATGGTAGATGAACTCTGAGATTAGTACTGAGTGTTTAAACCCCACAGTGAGAATCTTAATGGAACTCAGGCAAATGAATACTACTTCACGAGGCTACCATTCTGTTACACCAAAGGCAAGGTGTGTATATTTTGTAAGCAGCTGCCTGTAGTGTGTACCTATTAAGCTTTCATACAGAATTCAGACACTGGCAGTTTAACTATTATTACCAATTGTTTTAATATGGCCCAGTTGTCAGAATTATTGAGGATGTGTGTCAGCTTTTTCAATTGAATAGCTTTAATAGCTTAGCTTTCTTCTTGTTTCTTTGAGAACAACCTCTGAAAAGGACCCAAGCTCCTAAACATGTACAATGATGGCTCATAAATAACTTTTTATTATAACCCAGTAAGGAAAGCTCTAGCTTTTTCAATTATTGTTACCTTCTAATAAATTTCAAACCTTTATGCAAAAATGTATTTCATGGCTGCTTTCTTTTTCGTAGCCTTACATATCATGGCCATAAACAGGAAACACTTAACTCTTCCCAATGTCTCTCTCAGAGCTTCAAAAGCACACATTTAGATTTTTGCAGTTTCTATCTTCTCACTAATATGAAAAACAAAAGCGCTTCCTTACAAAAAAATCATATGCTTAATCCATTTGTGGTTGAAAAGCAGCATCTGACATTATAGTCCTACCTAGAAAGCTGTCCCGGTGAGAAAATAAGACCTGAACATCTTCCCCCCAGTTCCAGGAAAGGTTATTTGGTCCAAAGGGGTGATGCTGAGGAGTTGGGGCATGGGGTGGGATAGAAGTGGGGCTGAAGAGAGCAAATGATAGAAATATGGAAATATGTGTTCCTAAAAACGATCAGAGCAGGGATTTCTGACTCCAAATCTGAGGACTGTGGCTGCCGGCCTAAATCACCTGAGGTACCTTTGTGGCTAAGACTTGGGCTGCCTGTCATTCCTCAGCCAGTTGACATGGGGCTGAATGGAGGCCAGAGGAACAGTTGCAGGGCTGCTGCTACCATAAATAAACAAGCAATCGATCGCAAGATCCAGAAGGTCTCCTAACGTGAGTGACATCAGAAATTCGCTTGACTGTGATGAATTAGGTACACAGAGATGGTAACAATAACGGTAATGATGGTTATGTGCAGTGAGTGCTTACTAGATGTCATGGGCTGTCAAGGGCTCTCCCATATTCACTGAGCTAAGCCTCGCAGTAACCCTGGGAGGTTGATGAAAATTACTGTTTGCACCGGTTTTACTCATGAGGAAACAGTAACTTTCTCAAGCGGTGGAGTCAGAACTGCAATGCAGGCAACTTGGATTTCCAGTTCTCTGCATCAGGTAATAAGGTGCAAGACCTCCGAGGTCTTCAGCGAAAGATGCCATGGGGACTACAGCTCCACGAAGCAGAAGGGGGCCTGGTATGCAAAACGCTTTCGAGGCCAGAAGTCTTTCTGGGGCTCCTTCTCCTTGGACCCCTCCCAGAAGCACGTCCAGGGGCAGTAGGCCTCATCACAGCCCCCTGCTTCCCACACCAGGGTGTTCCTTTGCCTTCATATGGGTGAGGAGCTAAGTAGCTGCTCGGATGACCCCGGTGGTGCCCAGGGAACCAGAGATGAAATGCTGTAGCCAAGTCTTTACCCTCAAGAAGCTTCCAGTGGACAGGTGACCTTCTACCTTCTTTGGACCCTAATGCCAATCTGCAGGAAGGTCTCTTCTGGCCCAGAGTTGGTTCTCCAGCTCTGAGAGCTCATCTTTAACACCCTTCTGTACACTGCTCCAGGAGGGCACTGCACACATCCCTCCGTGTCGGTCGGCTTCCTGGACGGCTCTGCCGATAGGGGCACTAGACCCAGCTGGAGTAGGAGGGGGGCTGGGGTTCCTGGGAGCATCAGATCCTCAAGGGAGCCGCAGCAGCCGGCCCAGTCATAGCTCGCTGTACCCTCCTCGGAAGTCGGAGCCCCCTCCTCCCTGCTTCTAAGTTCTGAGAACCCCAAATTCTTCCCTTTGTTCCCCAGGTCCAGTCGCTTCTCACAGTTATTACTCCTTTGTTTCTTCGCTGCCCCCCTTCTGCCTTTTCGGTGTTTCAAACCTGTTTGATCCTCCCTCTATTGCAAGAGTGGTTTCTGTCTTCCTGACAGACCCTGGTGACACAGTGTGTTCCAGCCATGCACCTTGCTTGGAAAAAAGAAGGGATGCGTGATGACTTGTGGCTGCTGCAGACATGTGTGGAATTAAATAGAGATTTCTCCTCACCACTTTATGCGCCTTCTTGTTAATCGTTAATCAAATTTCCTATCACCACCACTTTGAGTAACAAATGGTAAAAATATGATTGAAAATAATGTCAGAGAAAAAAGCCCTTAGCTTCCCAGAGACTGGGGCCATGCCCCTTTCACGTGTCCTTGCTCGTCACTCTCATACGGTGGAGCCACAGGTCAGTCACTTGGTGGGAGAGGGGACTCCAGCAATTCAAGTCACATGTTAACTGTGTTGGGAAATTTGATTTTCCCTCAGTCTTAAAAACCTACTTTTCAATCATCTGATGATCTACTTTCCTTTTCAAATATTAGGATTTCTTCTCAATTTCCTGTTTATCTCAATCTTTCTTTTTTCCCCCTGCTTTCCTTCAGTTTCTTCCCCACCTCCCCTCCCTGTCCCATCCCAACAGAGCTTCCACTCAGTGCATTTTCATTTTCTTGAAGGCCAGAGTAGAAAGAGGAGCTGGGAGAGGCAGAGTGAGGGTTAACTCGTGCACGTCCAGCCGCCCATCCGACTGTGGCAGTCCTCTGGGAGCAGCGAGCTTAACCTCTCTGCCTGCCATGTCTCCAGCACTGCTATCAGGACGACAATCTGAAACTCAGCACGAGGCCACTGCACTGGCCATACTGTGATTTCGGACGCCTGGTCATGAATTTGGCAAAATCTGATCTTCATGTCAAATAGAGAAAATCAGTGGTAGCTTTTATTCCAGAAGCCCATGTACTCATAATGCACCACCCTTTCATCCTCCACTCTCACCCAATTCACATGACCATTCATTCATTCATTCATGCAACTAGCACTACGTAACTGATTAAGTATTCTGTGAAAGGGTTAGGCATGCCAGAAGTGGGGTGCGACATAACCCTGCATTTAACTAGCTTACAGGGCACCTCTGTGACCACTCGCACCCCCCTCCCCATAACTTCCTTCAGGGCACAGTCAAATATCAAGTACACTTCCCACACCACCCCCCAAACCAGTCTCTCTGCCTTCAGGCTTGCCCTGTCCAAGCTATTTTCCTACTCTGCATCCAGGTGGAACATCACTGAGTACAAATCTGATGACGTCCAGTCACAGAGTTTATCACGTGAGACGAGGAGCTTCAGGACCTGGCCCCCAGCCCCTGTACGTCCCACCCCTCCTCCCCTCATCCTCCCCTGTGCTCCGGCTGCTCACCCACCCCCGCCCGTGTGACACGCCCATGCTTGCTCTCTCACCTGCAGGCCTTTGCATATGAACTCCTTTGGCCTAGGATGCCCATCACCCACTTCTTGACCTACGCAATCCTTTAGCCTCAGGTCTTACGGTGCCTCCTCTGGGGAGTCATTCTCAAAGTCCCAAGGCTGGCCTTTAGGTCTGCCTACTCTATGCGCACCTAACCTGGGGCACATTCCAGCCTCGCGTTCCTAGCACTTGTTACCACTGCCTGATTCCTATGTGTTTTCCTCGCGAAGCTGTAAGTTTCTTAGGGTCAGCGACTATTTCTTCAACTTTGAGCATTTAGTACGTGCTCAAAAGGAGCGTGTTGAATGAATAGATTTGCATTTTTCCAGATGCCATCGTAAAGTTACTGTGCAGATTATCATTCCATTTTTACTATGTTCATTAACTTGGGGGAAAAAAGCACACTAATTTAAGAAAAACCAAACTTACTAGAAAGAGTTTTTTAAAGTGAAATTTAAATACAGGACTCTTTTCATCTTGCTATCACTGTGCTAATATAAATGAAGCAAATTAATTTTAATGCTCCCAGATACTGATTCTGTGTCACCATGGTTGACAGGATCCAACTAGACTTTATGAGATGGCATTTGACTTTATAGAAGTGAACACTATGCACACATTTACAATTTTACAGCGACTTTAAGCTGTCATGCTGAAAAATGTTTATAAAACATTAATCAAAAATGCCTCTTTAATACAATGCATTGTCTGAAAGATGTTGGAAGGCGCATATTGTAAATGGATTCTTTTTCTGACTAAAGTAATTTCCACCCAAAGCATTTCCCCACTGCTCTATGAGCACACTGTGCAGATAGATGAAGAGCACTTTCCTAGCACATTACTACCTGATCCAAACACTTGGGAAATCACTAATGTACAGCATGCCATATTTCCATGTCACACATGACACATTCGTCT